CTCTTCCTCTCTCATTTTAGAATCTATATATTGTTGACACGAAACGTTAGGATGCATCTTTTTTTTTTTTGGTCAATGAAAAATTTTATTCATTACCAAGTATGAAAATGAGTTACATTTTCCTAAATAACAATCAGAGCCTGAATTAGCTTCAGTCCCTCATGCCAATCTCTCTATGTATTCCTTTGCATGAATTGGAATATTTACATTCAGTAGCTTAGAGTATAAACTGATCTTTAGTGCACGAAAAAGAGTGTCAGAATCTCGTGCACGTCCTTGGAAAATCCTGAAATTCCTCTCCTGCCAGAGTATATATACTGAAGCTGATAGAACCATCCTTTTAAGCTTTGCTTTAAACCCAGTCCCTCTCAAGCTCGTGCTAAACCAAGCTGAAAGGTGATGCCAGCTACACGTCTTCCAATTGAAGCCAACCCAGTCCATTGCTTTATTCCAGAATGTCGATGAATATTGACATTCAAAGAATAAATGTTTGCAGGTTTCTCTTTGATTGACATCAGAACATAGAACACACTGATTTGAATTAAGTATCCTCATTCTGCAGAGCCTATCTTGAGTTAATAATCTTGAGATGGAAGCCAACCATAATATGAAGGAATGTTTAGGATAGTGCCAACCACCCCAAATAGTTCCTGATATTGGTGCTGAAGGAACCTGCTTGTTGAGACTCTTATACATAAGTGAAATGCTGAATTTATCTCCAGTGCAGCAATTATTGATGACTGAAAGCAGATTATCAGTGTTATCAAATTTCAAAACTAACAAATCCCTTACTTTCAGAATTTGTTTCCACATCCAAGAGTCACTTTTCCTATTTTGTACCTGCCAAACATTGTACTGCCGCAAATAGTTCCCATGTATCCATTTAATCCATAGGATGTCTTTCTTGTTGTGGATCATCCATAGCAGCTTGGCAGCAGAAGCAAAGTTCCAAAGTTTTGCTGAATACACTCCCAGACCACCCTGTTTGTGATCCTGACAAACTGCAGACCAAGCCACCAAGTGCATCTTATGCCTCCATAGGAAATCAGCACACATCTTATCTATCTTCTCTAGAACTTTGATTGGTAGAATGTAATTACTAGTCCAAAACATTTGAGTCCCCAAGATTACTGACTTTATCAGCTGCAATCTTCCAGCATAAGATAGTGTTTTGTTATTCTGCCAATTTTGAAACTGAGAGGATATTTTGCTTATAAGAGGAGAACAATCAAGCCAAGATAATCTTTTAGAGATAAGAGGAACTCCCAGATATCTCATTGGTAGAACCCCTTCAGAAAATTTGAGATATGAGCATATTTGAGCTTTTAAATCTTCATCAATACCACTCAAGAACACTGAGCATTTAGCAGGATTTGGTTCCAAACCTGAAACTTGACTAAATTCCATGAGACATTCATTAAGTCTTTCAATTGAACTCATATCAGCTTTACCAAACAGCAGGAGATCATCTGCAAAAATCAGATGTGAGATTTTCAATCCATTGCATTTGGGATGAAATTTGTATAACCTGTCACCCTTGAGAGTATCCAGCTTCCTAGATAGATATTCCATGCCGATTACAAACAGATATGGGGACATAGGATCACCTTGCCTTAATCCTCTAGCACCTTGAAAATACCCATGTAAAGTTCCATTAATTGACAGAGAGTATTTTGGAGTAGAGATGCATTCCATTATCCATCCAATCATATTATCAGGAAAACCCAGCCCTATCAACATCCTCCTGAGGAATTCCCAGCTTATTGTATCAAAAGCTTTCCTCAAATCTATATTTAGAATGGCTCTTGGAGATGTTTTTTTCCTAGTGTAGTGTTTGATGAGTTCATGAGCTAGGAGAATATTGCTGGAAATAAGTCTCCCCTTCACAAATGCACTTTGAGCATCACTAATCAAGTATCCCATAATTTTCTGAATCCTCATTGAAATGATATTTGAAATGATTTTGTAAACACAATTACAGCAAGCAATTGGCCTATAATCAGTTGCATGTTGAGGATTGAGCACTTTAGGAATCAGTATGATAGCAGTGGAATTGAATGTACCCAACAATTTACCAGAATTAAAGAATTCTTCAATTGCTTCATAAAGTTCCTCTTCAATTATACTCCAAGAAGCTTTGAAGAAATAAGCACTGAATCCATCAGGTCCAGGACTTTTTTCATTTGGTATGGAGAAAACTGCTTGTTTAATTTCCTCTCTGCTGACAGGAGAACTAAGCATATTCCTATGATCAGTTGTGAGTAGAGGGCCATTGGATATCACCTCTGGATCAGGCAGCAATGTAGATGTTGAAGTACCAAGGAGGTTTTTATAGAAATCTAGGAACTCTGTAACAATATCAGACATCTCAGTTAGCCTGTTTCCAGCCCTATCATACAGAGTCATGATTCTGTTATGATGCCTTTTATTCTTCATCACAGAGTGAAAGAAATGAGAGCTTTTATCAGCATGAATCCCCCAGTTAATATTAGCTCTCTGCCTATAGAATGAGATTTCACAATCCAGGAGTTTAACATATTTATTGGAGCTTTCTTTTTCCTTTTGAATCAAGGTTGAATTGAGAGGATCTTCATTGAGTTGCATCTGAATATCAGCAAGCTCTTTTTTAGCTCTAAGGACTTGTTCACTAATATCCATGAAGTGTTTTTTGTTTAACTCCTTTAGGAAGCTCTTTTTTAGCTCTAAGGACTTGTTCACTAATATCCATGAAGTGTTTTTTGTTTAACTCCTTTAGGGCTGGCTTAAGTTTCTTGAGTTTGGTATGGAGTTTGAACATCATATAACCATGAATATCCTGATCCCAAATTGATCTGACAGTTTGAAGGAAGTTAGGATGTTTGACCCACATATTGTAAAATTTAAAAGGTTTTTTCCCTTCAATAATATCATCACCTATAGTAAGGAGTGCAGGAGAATGATCAGAGCACCCTGGCATGAGGTAATCAACCTGGCTAGAAGTAAACTGTTGAATCCACTCCTCATTAATCAAGCATCTATCCAATCTGGACCAAATTCTTGTGTCAGCATCTTGTTTATTTCTCTAAGTAAAGTAGCATCCAGTTGATCTTATGTGCATCAATTGACATGAGGTGATGAAATCCTGGAAGTCTACAGTATCAGCTTCAGTGACAGGAAGACCTCCAATTTTCTCCTCACAACTAATAATTGAGTTAAAATCACCTCCAATAAGCCAAGGGCAATTAACATTGTGTTTGAATTCCAGAAGATCATTCCAAAGAGATCTCCTATTAATCTGCTGATTCAGAGCATAGACTATTGTACAGAGACAGGATATCTTGCTATCTTTAGACTCTATTGAACATGTCAAGAATTGCTCTGAGGACTTAATGATATGAACATTGATAATATCTTTATCCCACAAAATCCAGATTCTACAATTTGTGGCTTCTTGCACATTAGAATTCCATTGCCAATTTTTTGTAATTTTCCTTGATAAGAACTGTAGCTTACTTTCAGACAATTTTGTTTCCAGAAGAGCAAGGAATGAGAGTTGATACTCTTGTATAAAATCCTTCACTATCTTATGCTTAGAGGATTTATGAAAACCTCTAATGTTCCAGATAGCTAAATGCATTAGTTGGACAATCCTCCCCTATCCACACTTGATGGGTCATTTTGTTGCTCCAGGAGTGAAAATTGAGATACTTTAAAAGTGAAATCACCTGGATCAGAAGCATTTACTCTCCTTGCCAATTTTCCTTTATTAACACTAGAAAAACCAGTAGTGTGTATTATAGGAGAAGAGAATCTGTTTAACTGGTTTCTAGAATTTTGCTGTGCATGTTTTTGTGCATTAAGACTATTAGCTTGCCTGAGATCTGGAGAAATCTGAATATCAGTTGATTGCTGTTTCTGGGCATAAAAAGCACCAGAATTCCTTTCCTGAGCTCCTGAAATTTGCTGTGCATGTTTTTGTGCATCCAGACCAATTGCCAGTCTTAAACCTGAACAGTCCTGAATATCTTTTTGACCAATAACCTGTGTTCCAGAGATTACTGAATCCTCCCCTCTAATATCCTGATCATTCTGTCCTATTGGGTCAGAAAACCCCTATCCAGATATCATTTGACTTGTAGAATCACCACTATCTTTATTCTGAACATGCTCAGGATTAATTCCAGTCTGTTTACTAATAGGAACCCAAACCTTATTGGTTTTCTTTCTCCTGCATTGCTCTGTATCATGACCAACCATATTGCAAAAAGAGCACCATTTTGGCTTAAATTCATACATCACTGATTGCTTATAACTTCTCTCATCTGGACCTTGAATATTCAAAAAATCAGGCAGTGGTTTCTGTAATGGCAGTTTCACTTCAAGTAAGACTCTGGCATAAGAAAGCCTTTGTCTAGTGGCTGTTAGCTTATCTGTAGCAATAGGTTTACCAATTAAGCTAGCAACCTTACTGATACCAGTTGAACTCCATAGATTTAGTCTCAAATTTGAAAATTGCACCCACATTGGGTAATAGAAATCCTTCAGTTTTTCCATGTCTATATCTATGCTCCAAGGCATTAACATAAGGGGCCTAGAGCCAAAAAACCAAGGCCCAGCTTCCAGAACATCTCTCTTGTATTTTTCTGATTGAAAATCAAACAGAAAAACACCTTGCTTGATTAGGGAAACCTTAGGAATAGAGATATTACCCCATAATTTGTTCACATAGGATTCCATAGATTTAAATTTAACATTTAATCCTATAACATGCCCAATTAGAGCATTTCTCCAAAGTTCTTCACCTTCATTCCACTCCTCAGCAGAGAAAGAGACTGTATCAGATTTAGAAGATGGCACAAAGCTAAGTGACAAACCATTCCCTGATTTCCTGTTGTCAGCAAAGAGACTGGCAAAAGATTTACCAGAATCAGATCCTTTTCCCTCCATTTTCTCTTCATTGACATAATCCTGAGTTTTTTCCACTCTATTTTCCTCTATTTCCAAATTTGAGTTAGTAGATTTCTTGGATCCCAGCTCTGATTGACAGACTGGATGAGTATCAGATCCGACCTCCTCAGTTTCATTCATACCAGTCAATGGAACAGTAGTATTCAAAATTTTTGATCCTGAATCTTGACCAAGAGGAGATTTAGAAGTAAGAAGATCAGTTATCACCTCCATGTCGACCTCATCAGCCCAGGAAACCTTCGAAGAGCTAGCTTCATTACTTTTACAGAGATTACGAGCTTGAATACCATCCTTCAATGGAGAAGAGAGAGCCGATTCATATAAGAAATCAGTAGATCTGAGGATTTCTTCCATGGATTTCTTCTTCCTTTCACCTTTAGGTCCAGTCGATCCCATTACACTGAGATCTTCTTCATCTTCCTCCAAATTAACATCAAACTGATCCTCAAGAATATGGGAATAAGAGTTCGAAGACCTTAATCCAATATTTAGGATACTTCTTCCCTCCTTCTTCTTCTTCCTCGCCATTGAAAACCAGCGGGAGGTGCAAGTTAGCAGGAAATAGATCTCCCGCTAACATACACCTTCAGACAGCCCGCCCTTTCTACTCTTTCAGCCTTTTTTTAGGATGCATCTTGTTTGGCCTTCAGTTATCGTTTGAAGTCTCACATGTTACTAAAGTAGACAAAAATATTACATCTAGTCACTTCTCTTTCTTTGATGAGCAGAAAATTAAAGGTATTAATGGCGTACAGTTGGAGGATCTTAATCTCTTCCTCTAGCTTGTTAGTTTCTTGTTGCGTTTGGTTTATGCTTGAGCTTTAATTTCCACCGGTTACTTATGGTACATTTATACATCCTTGAATTATGTGAGCAGGGAATATATATGAGTTGCTTCTCCTAGCTGCATGCCATGTGCCTATATAGCTAGCAATATTAATGTAAACCCTAATTTTAATTTATCATTGACTTACACACCCTGAGATATATAGTCTCGAAATTAAGATCCTTTTATTAGTGTTTTTGCCCCCTTCAATTAATATGGTTTATTTTACTATGTAGAGACTTGAGACTATCAATAATATTACATTGTTTGATCAATTAATTAGCAGTTGACATTGCTTCGTAAGATTCAAAATCTAATGGCATATGTTGGGGATGAGTAACCGGATTAGTCTATAAAGTGAAACTTCTTGACCACTTTGACAAGTTTAAATAATACAGTTAGAAATCAATAGCAGTATTGCAATTTAATGCCAACGCAATCAGTAAGTATCAATACAATTAAAATAATTAGGGTATGAAAGCAAATCACAAATTTAGATCCTTTCCGCTACAAGACCACTATAGTAATCATAGTCGTTGATTTGTCTAACAACTGATTATATGATCCATTCCAAATTATCTGACACTCATCATGCATGCCCCCATGATTTGTACTCATTTCCTAGTTTATGTTCAAAGCCAAATCGCAACCTCCATTAAACAAATAGCAGTTATGATGTAGCAGTGATCTCTCCATTATTTATTTGTAGTGGATATAGGATATGAATCCGCAAATGGCCAACATTAAAACACGGTCAACAATAATCTTTTGATCATAGAACTTCAAGTACCATCAGCCATCTAGACCGCCGCATATTACCTTCAAAACTCTTCTAAAATTCTCCCTTGAACTCCCGCCGTCTCCAACCGCCTTCTCCGCTTGCTTCTTAATCTCTCCTAACCTCTCCCTCATTCTCCTGCCTTCCTCCTCCCTCAAAACCATTTTCAGAGCATTAACAACCTTCTCCCTCATCGCCACGCCCTCACTGTCGATCGCCACCCCTATCCTCCACCCCTCGGCCACCATTCTCGCGTTCGCCTTTTGTTCCCCGAAGAACGGCCTGCACACCTGTTGGGGTACTTGAATATAATTAAAATGGCAGAAAAACAAGATTTAAACTATAATAGTTAAATAGATGGGGTTTAATCGGGATAAAACTCATGTATATATAGCTCTAAGTGATAACAGACCCTTGCAGTTCTGTTGGTGAGGATATATAGACGGGGTGACTGGATTCTTTTAAATTTTCTAAAAAGTAAAGAAAATTAGATCTATTCACAATTAACTCATCTGAATATGTGTAACAATTTACCATCGGCACGGCGTTGGTGATGCCCTCCATTACTGAGTTCCACCCGCAATGCGTCAAGAACGCCCCCACCGCCGCGTGGGCCAGCACCCTAACCTGTGGGGCCCACGCCACGGTGAGCCCCCTCCCCTTAGTCCTGTCGAGAAACCCTGAGGGGAGCCCATCCCTTGCCTTACCTCTCAACGACCACAAGAACGGAACGCCGGCGGCTTCTAGGCCGTGGGCGAGCTCCTCTAGGTCGGACCGTCCAGGTGCCATCGTCGTGCCGAAGCTGATGTAGGTGACAGTGGCAGGGCCGTGGCGGTTGAGCCAGGATAGGCATTCGTAGTCGCCGTTGTTGTAGTTGACCATAGTGTCGTTGTTGAGGAGGTTGAAGGGGCCGATGGGGAGATGGTTCCTGAAGAGGGAGGCGAGTTCGGCGTCAATGTCCGGGTTAAGGCCGGTGAAGGTGTTCAGGACGATGGCGGTGGCGGAGTGG